CGTTGCCTACAGGCAACCCATCCAAGAGCAATGCAACCCCTCCTATAATCCCTTTCTCTTTTTCTTTTCAAACTGTTCTCAGAAAAAAAGGTAGCAAAAAAAAAAAAAAAAAAAAAAAAAAGAAAGGGGGGGGGGGGGGGGGGGGCAGAGGTGCATGGAGGGATGTGCTGTCTTTGAGGGCACCACTGGTGACAAGGACCGGGCCCCTAGGGTGCTGAGTGCCAGTCTTGAACATGGTCACCACCTGATGCACAGTGTCCTGCCTGCTCGAGGGGCACCGGGTGAGGCGAACCAACCTGCTGAGTGGCTGTGTTCCAGGAACCCACCACTGAGAATGTGCACAGCATCGATCCCCGGGACACCTGGATGCTTTTCGTCAGGCAGAGTGACAAGGGTGTCAATGGCAAGAGACGGAGCAGGACCAAGGCTAAGAAGCTGAAGGTGAGCAGAGTCCCCACCAGCACGTGTGGCGGCTGTGTGAGCCGGGGCCTCTGCCTCCGTGACCCTTAGCAGTCCCACTAGTGCCCCCCGACCACTTCCTCAGCCCACTCCTCCTGCCTCACCTGCAGCGGAGGACACAGAATGCTCCAAGCCAGGGCCCACGAGCCTGAGTTATGGGCCTGGTTCCAGCCATTTTCCCCGCACCCCTCAAACGCAGTGACACAAGAGTCTGGTTCCCAGTGGGTGGGGGGCACAGGGGCCTGGCAGCTGCTAGGTTCCCACTCTCACTCAGTCTTGGGCCTGGCCCGACCAGGGACCTGGAGCTTGGTCCTGATGGGCCAACTCCTGCTTGGAGCCCCAAAGAGGGCCCCACTGGGTGTCAGGCTTCCCTGTCCACCAGAGGGCCAGCCTCGCCCTGTCTTGGATCTGACCCAGTGATGGACTGCCGGCTGAGCCGTGACCCGGGCCTGGCCCACCAGCCCCAGCCCCCTGAGCCACCTAGCCCTGCCCCTAGCTCCTCCCTGTGGGGACTCCCTTGCTCCTGTGTTGGGTCCCAGCCCAGCCTGTTCTGGGCCACGCTCAATAGGAACTTGCTTACATTGGCTGACTCTGGCCCAGTGCCACACCCTGAGATGCAAGTCCCCAAAAGGGGCCTGGAAACCTGGCCTCAGGGCAGGCCACAGCCCTCTGCTTCCTCACTCAGAGCCCTTCCCTGCCCCCAGCCCCACCACCCAGGGACCCCACACCTCCAACACGTTGTGGTCCTCACTCTGGCCCGGGAGCTGGCAGCTTTCACTGACCCAGTGAAACTCAGGGGAGTTTGAAGCTGGCCTCCAGCTTGACAGTCAGGGCCCACCGGGGCTGGCTGGGGAGCTCTCTTGCCTGCCTCTTGGTGGCGAAAATTTGCAGAGGGCACACCTTTGGTTCCCAGCCTGCCTCCTCATGTGCTCACTGCCAAGGTTCCCTTTCAGCTCGGCCTGCCAGGGCCCCCTGGGCCTCCTGGTCCCCAGGGCCCCCCAGGCCCCATCATCCTGCCCGAGGCACTGCTGAAGGAGTTCCAGCTGCTGCTGAAAGGTAGGGGGTGTGTGTCCACGTGGGCACACACTCAGGTGTGAGCAGGGCCGGGAGGGTGTCCTGAGGAGCTGAGATAGTGCAGACCTCAGCACTTCAGCTAGCACCTGAGAAGACACCTGCTCTGTGCAGGGATCAGGAGCCATGGCGCTGGCCTGCGACAGGTCCCTGCCCTGGCCTAGCCCATGTCTGCCAAGGCTCAGGGGCTGGGGGGAGAAGGATGAGAAGAAGCCTTCTCAGAGGAAGGTGAACTTGGGCCACTCAGTGTTCGGTAGGCACCCACCCCCACCCGGGAGTCAGGTGAGCCAGAGAAGGCTGTGAGACCCAGCCTGGCTGCTGGCCAGAGCCCCATGGGAGGGCCCAGAAGATAGTGGATCCAGGCAGCACAGGGTGGAGCCCAGCCCTGAACCCACAATCACCACCCGGCCAGGGCTGGGGCAGCCTGAGCTGGAGGCCACAGAGGGAGTGAGCAGAGCTGAGGGGAGCTGTTGTGCCCAGGGATGTCTCTGCACTGGCCAGCTGCTGAGCAGTGGCTCACATGACCTCCTAAAATTGATTATATCATGAAGAACTATCGAGAGCCGTTTGCCCCCTTCAACTCAATGTACTGTTCATTTAAACATAGCACCTTCAACTGCTTGAATAGCCTCCGTGTTATTTCCGATATAGCTGTGATAGTTATTTACTTACACCCAGCTTCTTTCAACAAATGCGGATAGGGTAGGGGGTTGAGGCTGGAGGACTAGGGTCCTGGATGCTGAATATGCGTCTGCCCTGAGCTTCCCGGTAGCCAAAGTGAGAAGGGAAACGAGAGCAGCGCAGGATGAGGAGGCAGTTTCTCGAGACTCTGCAGGCTGAGGGGGCGTCTCCCGCGGGCTCTGCAGTGTGTCGCCCTGAACCCTAACCCCGCGCGGGCTGCTCCCTCGTCCCGTGTATGCCCGTTGTTCGGGGTTAGACCCTCGGCTGGGGGCACGGACCAGCTCGGCCACCACTCGCTCTATGCCAGGCGCGGTGCGGCAGCGCGAGCGCGCGGAGCCCAAGCCCTGCGCGCGCAGCCCCGCGGAGTCGGCCACCGCGGGGGACGACGACGACGAGGAGGCGGGGGCTGTGCTGGCGCTGCTG